AAAAGGATGATAAATGAAAAACTGCCTTTAAAACTAAGTTTGGATTATATGAATGGTTAGTTATGCCTTTTGGTTTAAGAAATGCTCCTAATACTTTTTGGATTTATTGTTGGATCACAAGGAATCCATGTGGATGAGGAGAAAGACAAGGCCATTCATGAATGGCTAAACCTTAAGAATGCAAGTGAAGTAAGAAGCTTCCAAGACTTAGCAAGCTTCTATATGATATTTGTTGTTAGAGATTTCTCTAGTATTGCTGCCCCTCTTAATGAGCTTGTTTAGAAGAATGCGACTTTCACATAGGGTGAGACACATGAAAGGGCTTTCCAAACCCTAAAGGATAAATTGACTAATGCCCTTTTACTTGTTTTGCCTAATTTTTCTAAAGCATTTGAAATTCAATGTGATACTTCTAGTATTGGTATTGGTGCTATTTTAATCTAGGATTCTAAGCCCATAACTTACTTCAGTGAAAAGCTACATGATACAAATTTAAATTATTCAACCTATGACAAAGAGCTCTATACTTTGAAGAGGGCCATAGAAATTGGTAAAACTATTTATGGCTCAAGGAATTCATCATTCATTCTGATCATGGGAGTTTAAAATTTCTCAAGTCTCAAGGTAAGTTGAACAAAAGACATGCTCGCTGGATGTAGTTTATTAAGACCTTTCCTTATGTGATTAAGGAAAAACATTACTAACACTTTACCTAAGAGGAATACATTACTTTCCTATTTGCATGCTCAATTACTTGGCTTCAAGATTTTGAAAGATCTTTATAAACCTATCTGATTCTGATTTTGAAAGCATTTAGAAATCTTGTGAAAATCATAGATCTAGTGATTTCTTTAGATTTGATAAATTTCTTTTTAAGAAAAACAAATTGTGCATTCCTATGTGTTTTATGCATGAGTTGCTTACTAAAGAAGCACATGGTAATAGTTTGATAGGACACTTTAGTGTAGAGAAAATTGTGGCTATTTATCTAATCATTTCTTTTGGCCTCATATGTGGAAAGATGTCATATCTATTTGTGATAAATGCATTAAATATAGACAGGAAAAATCGTCCAACCTCATAAATTTTACTCTCTTTTATCCATTCCTCTCATCTTGGGGAACATATCTCTATGGATTTTATAATTGGATAACTTAAATCTTTTATAGGCAAAAATTTCATATTTGTTGTTGTTGATAAATTCTCTAAGATGGCACACCTTATTGCATGTGCTAGAACTAATGACATTGTTAACATTCCTGAGTTATTCTTTAAGGAGATTGTTTGTTTGCATGGTTTATCTAAGACCATTGTGAGTGACAAGGATGTGAAGTTTCTTATTGGGGACTAAGTTACTTTTCTTCACTATCACCTATTCACAAACTAATGGTCAAGCTAAGGTAGTCAATATAACTATGACTGCACTATTGAGAACAATAATTCAAAAGAATTTTAAGAATGGAGTAAACTGTTTACCTCATATTGAATTTGCTTACAACAGAGCTATTCATTCTTCTACTTTTTATTCTCCATTTGAAATTGTTTATGGTTTCAATCCACTCTCTCTTATTGATATTTTACCTTTGCCTTTTTCTGAGCGTGCTAACATTGATAGCAAGAGAAAACCTGAGTTTGTGCAAGACCTATATGCTAAAGTTAGAGCAAATATAAAGCGAAAGAATAAACAATATGCCAAGCAAGCTAATAAAGGTAGGAGACATGTAATCTTTGAACCTGGAGATTGGGTTTGGTTACATTTAAAGAAAGAGAGACTTTCTAGTCAAAGGAAATCCAAACTTTAAGCCCGAGGAAATAGACATTACAAGTTTTAGAAAGAATTAATAATCATGCTTACAAGATTGATTTTCCTAGCTCTTATGTCAATGTTAGTGCCATATTCAATGTTTCTAATCTATTTTTATAGGATTCTATAGATTCCAGGACAAATTCTTTGTAACTAGAAGGGAATGATGGACCCAATGACATGAATGACATTGCATTAATGACAGTGATGCTTGAGGATGGCAAGCATGAGCATGGTGGCATGCTAAGAGCCTAAAGTAAGGAGTAAGGAGCCCAACACTTTTAATCCAACATGCCTAAAGACCTTTTACAATATATTAGAGATCCAATGACAAAAGTCCAAACTAAAGCCATGAAACAAGCTTTGTTCAATCTTATGCAAGAAGTCCAAGAGCTAAGAGAATGTTGCAGCACTCCTCTCAAGCCTAAAAAAGAGCATCTAGGTGTATATAATGTGTTTAAATCCAAATTTATGAAGAGTCAAGCCCAAGAGGTGAAAACCCTGACCCAATGCAAGGAAGACTACAAGTGGAGCCTCTTACAAGCAAGAAGGCATGAAACCCTAGTAAAAAGGTCAAGGGTCATGTGATTTTGAGTCCTTTATGATCCTTTGATTGTCTCCTTAATTATTTTTTAATTTAGTAGTCCTTTGACTTGACTCTTTTTCTTAAAGAGCAAGACTAGTTATAGTTTTCTATTTTGAGTATAGTCAAAGATTAGGATTAATCATATTATAATTTTAGGATCACATCTCCTTAATTATGTGGCTGAATATTTTTTTATTTTATATTATTTTCATTCTCCTATTAGTATTAGGAAATTAGGGTTTTAATTTTAAGAAATAGTATTTTTGTATGAGCCTATATATATATTAGGCATGCTCCTTCTTATAAAAGAAAGAAAAGTTGAATGAAATTATTCATTTTAAAGTTTATAACTCTTGTGAGCCTTAGTGCTTTATGGTGGCATCCCGTGTGAAAAATAAACATGATCAAGAGTATAATCAATTATTGTGCTGTCTTCGAAAGTTAGGTTCATATATGTAGGTGCTCTAGAAGATCTTGTCTTTAATCATTATTCCATTGTTTATTTCATTTCTTTCTTTGTTTTTATCATAAATTTCATCCCTTTTTTTTTGTTCTTATGTTTTGTTGTTTTTAAAGATTCTATCCATAAACTAGTACGATTCCGCTTTCGTGTCCTCTATCATTAATATCTTAACAGAACTTGTTAATTACTTAACTTTCCTTATCAAGCCCCTAACTCCCGCAACAAAACTACATTACTTGTTAATTACATAACTTTACTTGTTAACATATTAACAGAACCTATCAATTACTTAACTTTCTTGTTAAATCCATGACTCCACAACAAAACTAATATTATTTGTTAATCGCATAACTACACTTGTGAGTACCTTAATAGAACTTGTTAATTATTTAACTTTCCTTGTTAAGTCCGTTACTCTCATAACAGAACTACATTACTTGTTAATCATATAACTTTACTTATTAATTTCTTAAATGAACTTGTTAATTACTTAACTTTACTTGTTAAGTTCATGACTCTCACAATAGAACTACATTACTTGTTAAAATTGCATAACTTTACTTGTTAATTTCGTAGCCATACTTGTTAATTGCATAGCTTGACTTATTAATAACATAATAAGATTTGTTTAACCATTGTTAATACCATAACAAGTTTTACTTGTTAATTCCTCAACAATAATTGTTAAATGCCTATTTTCACTAGTTAAATGAACATATAATTTACATAAAAAATTGAGTTTGTTTGGGTTTTTCTTATCACTATTCATCAAATTGGATACTCAATTATATATATATATATATATATGTATATATAGAGAGAGAGAGCAATACCCAAAAACAAATAATATTAACAAGTAAAATTAAATAAATGACGAGCTACATAAGACTTTTAACAAGTCTACTTATTATACATATAATTTTAAGGGAGTTACAAAATTAACAAATAAATTTATGTGATTTGTAATGCAGTTCAATTAAAAGAGTCACAGATTTCATAAGTAAATTCAAGTAATTAATAAGTCCTGTTGAAAAATTAATAAGTAAATTTATATGATTAACAAGTAATGTAGTTTTATTATGGGAGTTATGAAATTAACAAGTAAAGTTAAGTAATTAATAAATATCTTTGAGGAATTAACAAGTAAAATTATGCAATTAACAAATAATGTAGTTCTTTTGCGAGAGTTACGGACTTAACAAGAAAAGTTAAGTAACTGACAAATCCTATTAAGGTGTTAATAAGTAAAATTATATAATTAACAAGTAATGAAATTTTGTTGTGGGAGTCATAAACTTGACGAGAAAAGTTAAATAATTGACAAATCCTATTAAAGTGTTAACAAGTAAAATTATACGATTAACAATATAATTCTGTTGCGGGAATCATTGACTTAACAAGAAAAGTTGAATAATTAGCCAAGCCTATTAAAATATTAACAAGTAAAGTTATAACATGACCAAGTAACATAATAATCAAGTGGTTTGCAAATAAAATTTATATATATATATATATATAATTTTATACATTATATAATTAAATGAGTCCAATAACTTGGAGGCCCATTTTTTTTCTTTTTTTAGTGAGCCTGGTTATGGGTTTTAAACCCACCCTTAGCCACCTTTGAAAAATTTAATCTTCTTAGCACCACTAGCTGACAATCAAAGCTTTAACTACAAAGATCCATTGAATATTGTCGCAACGAGAGTTCTGTCACCAATGGTGGCACTTCAGCAATAATGGTTGGTTTTTTTTTTTTTTCCTTTTAAATAAATGAAAAACTTTTGGATCATTTCTTTTCAAAAACAATTTCAATTTAGTCTACGTCCTGCAATGTAATTTCAAATTTTATTGAGCATGATTTGAAGATAAGTTACATTCCTAGTTCTTTACTGAAATTCTCCCTGTTTTAATACCTAGTGCTGGTGCAATAAACATGTAAACAGATTCCTAAATTAAATTGATTAACATGTTCTTTTTAATAAGAACGTGCTAGTCTCATTGTGCTCAAGCTTTGGGTAAAAAATTAGAAGTGACATTGCCCAACCTAGATTATTGGCCGTTACAAGATTTTTTTTTTTTTAAATGAGTTGATTTACAAATCCTTATATGTGATAAATAGATAGATTTATGATAACCTTTAAAAATTAAATCTAAGGCTGGTCCATCAAACTTCAGTTTGACAGGATAATCTTCCAAAACTAATCAACTTTGTTTACTTATACAACCAATGAAAATTTAAGCGCCAACGAAGAATTCAATTCTCAAAAAAATACAACAAAGCACAGCACTGTCCATAACAAATTGAAAAATAATAATACAAAACCAAAATTGACCAATGCTAATTAAGGCGCTACCTGAATGGTTTAGCAGCAATGTGGTCAAAAACTTATTGAAATTATGTGGATAATGCCGGCCCAGATGTATGAACTATTCCCCACAGAATCACTTGCTCTCAATGTCGTAAAGATCAGTTCTGGATATAATCAATTAAGGATAAAAACAATTACACAGATATCAAAGAGAGAGATCTATTGAATTCAGCAAAACAGGACCTTCCACTTTCTATGAGAACAATTACAATATTATACTTTGGTAAATCCATGTCCATCGAATCCTGGCCTAGTGAGGAGTATAATAGAAACAAATAAGGAAAGATGATAGAAGAGAGGGAAGGGGATTTATGATGTCCGAACCACCTCAGTTTAGCGGACATGAGGGTCCATGAGGAAAAGTCGTTGGGACTTACCAGAAACCATCAATCAGATTTATCATCATTTTGTGTAGTCCTGAATGAGTTGGAAGCCAATAAAGATCAGTAACAACTACGGAAGGAAGTTTGGAGAAGATAATTCTGGAGGAGATGATCTTGAAACCGATCTTGTAGCTGTACTTGCTAGCAAGAACGAATCAGAAGAGGCAAACCCAACCACCATTGATGGAGCTGAGCCTCAGAAGACTAGAATGAAATTTAACTCCTCAACGCAAAAGGGCAAAAGAGGATGGAGAAGAATATCATGAGAGAGAGAACTGCTGGGGAGGCCAAAGGAGCAAGGGTCCACAATAATAGTTAACAGAAGAGGAGGAAGATACTAAGGGCAGAGGGTGAGTAAATAGGTCAAGTGGAGCATAAGTCACAAAAGGCTAGCAGAATGGACAAACACCTAACCAAATTAGGCTCTTTTAGAAGGTTGATCCTGAATAATCCATATTCATCAGTTATATAGATCAGTAACACACAGAAAAGCACTCAGCTTCCAATTCCAGCAAGGCTCATTGAACAGGCAACTGAAATTGATCAAGATAAGCTCACTTAGGAATTGAACAGCAGCTGAATTGAGTGATGAGGATTACAACTATGCTGATATGAGATTTAATGAAGTTCATGTGTACTGTAGCTTACGGACTTTGATGTCCTGAAGAACAATTGACACGACAGAATTCACCCTTGGTGACCTATCTTGGGTATATTCGAATTTGGTAGCAGCATCCATAGGTACAGTAGCTGGCTTTGCCACTAGCATCCCTGGCTTTGCCTCTTTCTGTGTTTTAGGACTTGAGGATGGGGAGGATGATTGGCAGATGAAAAGAAGTGGATGAATTATATCACATTCACACAAACAAGACAACAAGGAGCACAGAATAATCGTATAAGCAGCAGTTAGCCAGCTACAGAATCTGTGATTTACAAATTTAAGCTTTTGCAATTACCTTCTGATTATTTGAATGTTGATTACATGAAGATTTTGTAACCCCCAATTCTCTAATAAAGATATTTCACAACTTCTAAGTGAAACCTGCCTGTTGCTAAACATACATGATGTTCGTATCCTTCTTGCAATCATAACCCAACAGCTCTGTTCTAGTTTCAGCAGTTCCAAAATGAGCCCCAAACAAAACCTGAAAGCACTTTACCTCCCTTGCCTACATCTGAAACTGAAAAACTGAACCAGTCATTACAAAGACTCTCCAGTGATTTAAATCAAACCCTATTCCCTGTTACAATGAAATGTCCCATAACAACAATCAAACAACAAGAACACAGCAATGCTCACTATGCTTCTGAGAGGCCAGTCCCCCCTCACCCAGAATACAAAATATGACCTACCTTACAAATGACACTAACAACTACTATAAACCCCAAAAGCACCTTGCACAATATCCAACATTACTTTCTGCTAAAACAGACCTAACACCATCCTGAGTCAACTCTAAGTCTGTATAGCTTTCTCCTTAATAGTAAGAAGAGTAAGGTCAACTCTAGGTCTGTGTTTTAATTACGCTTTGTATAAAAAGACTGTAAGCTTCCTTCTTGTAAAAGAAACCTATGCAAGTGGTATGTTTCTAATTATTTTAACAGCAAGTGGGTGGTGGGAAGGAAACCATAGCTTATAAATAGAAGCTCTCTTGTATTTTGAAGGTAGACTTGGATGAACAAAACAGTTTGAGTGATTTTCTGATAGCTTCCCCTCCAGATCTTTCACTATGTCTCTTTCTCTTCCCCCTCCTTCTCTGTTCTTCATTCCCCTTCTCTCCCTCCCTGTTTCTATTCGCTGTCCCATTTTATCTCTATTTGCATAAGTGGCGCTGTGTGCATTACAAAGTGATTGTAATGCATTGTACACATGTTAGTTTAAGTGACACATCTAGTATCCTATGCATCTCTCTAGTTGGAATATGTCCTTCCCGGTATTATATTTGTATTCTCCATGAATTCAAAGTGTCAAACCCCTTTAGGTTTGAATTTACACCAGAACCTCAAATGAAATTTATAAAACATACAATTACAAACACCTCGCTTCCCCCACAAATTCACTCAAATAAATAGAGAAATAAATAACACTAGCCTTCCTTATTTTAAGTTTCAAAAGCATTAACTTGGACTACTGGTGATTTTTGCAGCACCGAATTAGATTATAATAAGATTTTAGAAGGAGAAATGCATAGGGAGCAAGCTCCTGATGGAAAACAATCTCAACTTGATATTAAAACCAGCAACAATCTGACAGTATAAATGTGCAAGTTTAATAAGAAAATTACGAAAAGGGAAAAAATGATAGAAAATACAGACACCCTCACTAGTTCCCTAGCGTTTAAGAGGCTAGAGTCTCTCCCTCACAATACTCACTTTCTGCTTGTCCTTCCTCTAAAACCATAGATCTTAATAATATCTTTACCAATATGCCTAAACATTCACAAAAACAACCTTTCCATAGACAGAAAGAGCCAATAAATGTCCATGGATATCAAATTTGCCAAAGTTCATAGTACCCACGCTTTGCTCCAAGTCAAGTCAAATAAATGTTAGTCTGTCTAATTATACAAAATTTTCAAATCAATTGTACCTGTCATCAATAATCACAACCCATCAAACTTGCCCAGACTTCACCATACACAACAGGGCAAATGCTTTATGCTTCAAGTCAGGTCAAATGAACATTAACTTGTGAAATCTAGGTCATCAAAATCATTTGCAATCAATAGTCATCATTTGTCAGATATAACCAGCACGATATATAGTTTATCATATTATATGATAGAATAAAAGCTTTGAAACATGTGTCGTTAGCTAGAAATGAAGCAGCCTCAAGAACCCTAGACAATAATTAAGAAATTCAGTAAATATACAAAATCCCAAAATTGTAAAATCCTTAAGAGCAGAACATTAAGGCTTCGAGTATCAAACAGGATATCCTCTAAAAAATATAACCTAAGCTGATGATTATCCTTACAAATACCATAATCAGATCACATTAACCCAGCTTGCAGGGCTTACATGGAACTCAACTCAATCAACTCCCCAATTTTCTCAACCTCATTTCTCTATAGTAAATTACTAATGCCCTTCCATTCCAATTTGAGCTAAGTAATTGGAGCTTGTAATTAACAGTAGATGTTAGACCAACTTTCAAAACTAACTTCAACCCCAAAAAACCGGGGGAGTAAGTGGACTTAGAAGGAAAGGAAGAATAACAGTACATATAGCTACACATTCTAAATATAATTGATGTTGTGGGACTAAGGATGATTATGGCACAGATCTGTAGCAAATGATCTTCTCATAACATATGAGTTATACTTAACATGATTTTAATAAAAATATTCCAGTCCCAGCTATAGAAAGATAACAATACAACGCAAGTCAAAAAAGGATACACTAGATAAAAGCCATGAGCAAACGCCCCCGCCAGCACAGCAGTGAACAAACGATCTCTTAAAACGGGTCTATGCCGGAGCGAAAGACGAACTGAAAAACAAACAAAAGCAAAGAGCGAAAATTGAATTTAAATATTGAAAAATACAAAACCCAGATTGAAAACCTAATTAAAAAAAAAATGAATGAAATTGGCGAAGGCGAAGGGGATAGTCAAAAGAAAAAACCCACTTAAAGGAAGAACGGGGGCGTATATGAGAGGAACCAGAAATTTGAAAGGGGCTCTCTTGGTTTGCCGCCTTACAGCATCTTCCCTTTTAACGAGAAATTAACGCCATCACAGAAAATCCAAAAGAAGAACAACCATTAGAGAGATGAACTCATCAATGATATTAAATGTAAAATTATCTGATCCAATTAGACTAAGTGATCGGCCTTACTGGTTGGAAGGACCGGACGGTGGAGCCATCTGGGATTCGATGCGGCTGGAATGCGAGCGGTGTGGGTTGTTGAGGGAAATGGCTCTGATCCAGCCTCAAATGGTGTAGAAGACTAGTTGCGGAAGTCCGTGGTGCCGGCCACGTTTGTCAGGGAGAATGACAAACGCGATGAAATAATTGAAGTTAAGTTTAAATGTTAAATATAAAAAATTTATAATTTAATCTTTTAACTTTGTAATTATATTTAAATAAATTTATAATTTATTTTTTAAATTTTAACATATAAAAAAATAAAAATTATTTTTTTCATTAAAATTCAAAATATAAGTGTTCGTGGTCAATAACAAATACCAAGTGTGTCAAAGACGCTGAGTCTCAATTGATAATAAAAGGATTCCGAATTCCCTTACCACAGTTTATTTGAATGTAAAAAGATACAAGACATTGGTAGAATAAGTGTTTGATTGTTATTGAAATATGAAAAGATTATAGACCTAAAATTGAAAACTAAAAAGGACTAACAAATGTAAAATTGCAAGTCTATGATTGAGTGTTGACTAGTTTCTTCTGTATTTTCTTTTTCTATTTATAGTGTCAAAGTAGCAGTAGCTTCTTCTTGAAACCTAGCATGTTTTGCCAAAGAATCTGCAATCTCACAAAACTCATGACATGGTCTTTATTCCATGCTCTTCATTTTGGTAACCAGCCTGTTTCACCGAGATACTTAGGCATAGATTTCGACATTACTTAAAATTGTGTCTTTCGTGCTAACAGTCTAATATTTGCAGCTAACGAGATTTTGGCATGTTTACTTATTGTGGCCCTTATTAAGCCTCGGGGCTAACCCTTTCATTTATATTGGGCCTGACGCTTCAATTACTCAACCCAACTAACCTTATGGCCTATTTGAGCGACGTTTTATATTTAGCCCAAAGAATGCCCCCCGCATGCCAATAGCTGATAATGTAAGCCACGTGGCACGTTTGAAAAAATTGAAACGTCGCTTCATTTTTTAGCACCCTTTTGCTAATATAAACTCATTTCTTTCTTTTGGTTACTTCTCTTGCCCTTTCTACCATTTCTTAAACTTCAAGCATTCACTCTTCTGCATTCCTTTTACCTTAGCTCTCAAATGGCTTTCTCCACTTTTGCCACTTCTATTGCCGCTCCATCTTCCACCTCCGCTAAGAGTCTACCTGATTTTTTGGCAACTATTCGAAATCTCGTAACCCCACTTAACGGGTTTGTGATGGTACATATTCAATGGTCTGAAAACTCTTCTTTTCCTTAGATTGGTTTCTCATTCTAATAGTTGTTCGTTTTCTTTACAAGAGGATTATTCATTCCACAAATCAGAGGCTTTCTGGTAAGTTTCTCGCTTCTCATGTTTTAGCTGTTCTGTTTTATTGGAGAAGTACACTAACTATGCTTTGCTTTTCTCTAACAATTCTCCTTGGAGCTTTCAAATCTCCAATAAAAGCAATATTGGATACCTGACCATCTATCTCGACTTGTCCAAAGTCATAGCCCCTACTTAGCCAAATCCATGACCATTGACCTCCATTCGTAACTTGGTCTTGGCTCGGATAACTTCACCCTTCCCCAAGCCATCCTATAGAAAACTCAAGAACTGGCCCCGATCTCCTCACACTTGGGTCAATTGGGTGAGCGCTTGAAGTCAGAGTATGCGCCTCAGTGGAAGGAGATGGGTCTTTACAACCTGATCCAACTATCTCTAACTGATGTTAACGTCCCAGTTGAGCTTCTAACGGCCCTTTTAAGCTTATGGGCTCCGAGTTGTAACGCCTTCATCTTCGAGCTCAGCCCTGTGTCCCTCATGCTATGGGACGTTTTCATGTTCCTGGGGCTACCCATCACCGAGGAGGAGAACTTCTATGCAATCCTCGATAAGCATGACTCCTACACCACCCTCTTAACCGATTTGGAGAACAAGATCAGGAGTGCGGGCTCCTACATGAAGATTATAAAGTTATTCTCCAAGAAACCAGTCACTGAGCCTATCACTGCCACGGAGCACCTGGTCTTCATATGGATCCTTTTAAGCTAATAGATCCTAGCCTCGAGGGGAGGGAAGCCTGTATAGTTGTACTTAAGGATCGCCCAGTCCATGATCTGCGACAATCAAATGGCCCTAAGAATGATGTTTCTATGTCGCCTCTATGACGGCATGAGGGAGTCACTAATGAAGAAACCTTTCAACAACTTCTATGGGCTCATCTAATTTCTAAAGTTATAGACGACGGCCTACTTTCTACTTCTATGGCGAGAGCCTTTCCCAGATGATTCCCGCACCAACCACCCTTTCACTTATCTCCTTAATGGTCATCTATTGACTGACTCGAAGAACTTCTTCGAGTTCTTTTGTAAGCAAAGCTAGTCCTTGGGGAGGACCTTAAAGGCCTTTAATATTTTGAACCGTCGCCTCCCCACCTGGTACAAGCACATGGTGGACCAGAAGAATAAGCCTGCTAAGCTACTAAGGGATGAGGTTTTCCTCTCGGCTACTACTCTTAGGAAGATGTTGCTGCCATACACTGGCTCTTCCTCCAAGTCTTTAAGGGTCTACTTAGAGTCCTATCATCCTCAACTGGTGGCGGGCTAGTTTAGACTGAGCCAGTGCATCCCTTAAGGCCTGTCCCCCTAGATCAGTGTGGAGCTGCTAAATAGGGAAGCTATCTACCAAATAGCCGTTCCATACACCACTCAAAGGCAATGCAAGGTGAAACTTGTAAATAAAGATGCCTGCCTCTACTTCAATAAATGGTGGCCCTAGTGTTTTAGGTGCATAATAAAGATCCACACCAGTAAGTATTACCTCTTGTGTTTGTCTTAGTTTTCTTTCTTTTACCCCATACCCAAGTCTAATCCTATTTTTATTTTTGTAGGCCATGATTGGACGTAATCTCATGTGTTAATGATGTTCCTAAGGGGAAATATTGACGCCCTCGCTACTTTTAGGTCCCCTCATTGAGGACTATAGTCCAAGGGATTTAGCACGATGATGCCTCATCTCAAGTCTCGGCCCCTCAATCCCCAGGAAGCTTGGGGCTAAGAAGATCTCCTCAAGTCGTCCCAACAAAGGGGATGGTCCTAACAAGAGGAAGCGAGCTCCATTCTTTCACCTGATGCTAAGAGGAGGAAGAAGACAATACCTCTTTCCCTCGACCAACCTTCCTCTGCTTCGCTCCTATCTAGCCCCACTCCCTAGAAGGAAAAGCGCACGCACAAGCATCGACGAATGATGATCTTGTTAGCAGATTTTAATGATGGTAGGGTGAGTCCTCTTCAATATGAGGAAATGAAGACCTAGCCCCTAGATCCCCAAGTGATCACTTCCCCCACCTTTGCCAATCCTAAGCCAATACCTATGGATCTGACTGAAGTTGCTCAAAAGGTAGCCCGAAAGGTGATGGAGCATGCTGAAGATCTGGAAGTTGCTATGTCTACTGTAGTGCCAGGTGGTACTACTGGTTTGGAAGACATCGGGGCTGCAATTGACCAAGAAGAGGCTTTTGTTGTAGCCCCGAGTGGTGAGTTGGAGCTTGAAGTCTAAGGTCTTGCTTCCACCAAAGGTCCCAGGATAGTCTCCCCCATCAACTTGATCCCACCCCCCACCTCATCAAGCGCTCAAGAAGTCAGGGGCTCTGAGAGGTCCCTGAAGGGATTTCAGGCAATAATTGTGAATAATGCCTTAGTTGCCTTGGCCTCCACTTAAGGCGTCTCGGTGAGGGGTCAAACTAATTCATCCACTCTTACAAGCCATGTGGAGAAGGCCCTGCGCTCAGTAGTGTGGTTTGCACATATCCACAAGCAAAAACAAAGTACTCATAGACCCAATTCAGGTATTGGCTTGTTTGCTCTTATCCCTCTAGTTCCTTCTTTTTATCTCTCGTTACTGACCTCACTTTGTTTTCTTCAGCTGGCTTCATTGGAGGCGGTACCTACTGATACCCTTCTAGCTCGCATTCGTGTCCCCAAAATAGACATGGTGTAGAATGCTTAGAGGGTTGTGTAGTTCCAACTCAGTCGAGATCCACTCCTCATTCCTCAATAGAATTACGAGGAGATGATCTAGGCTCTTGAGGCTGTGGAGAAGGCAGTCTCCATATCTAAGTTGGCACTCCTTCAAGCTCAAGTCCTAACATGTTATAGCATCATCAGCCGATGCCGCAAAGAACTTCCCTTCCTATCAGAATATTTAAAAACATAATTGTTCTGTGAGGGACAAGCGTCTTGCTGCCAAGACCTAAACGACTGTTGCTATAGATAGGGTTTAGGAGATTGCCCCTTGTGTGGATCACCTCCAGGCAATACAAGCTAAAGTGGTGGACTTAAGGCGCCAACTAGCAATAGTTGGAGATGAGTTGGCGCAAGCTAAAGCTGAAGATGGTCCAATTGAGTCTAAACTAGAGGTTGCAACTAAGGCTCTAGATGAGAAACAAGCCGTTTTGGATGAAAAGCTTCATTCTATGTTTGAGTTCGAGGTGGCCCTTACTCACCATCAGACCCTTTCTGAAGAGCTGGACTCAGCTTTGGCCATGTGGGAGACCATATATAGCCTTTGTAAATAATGTATCTTATTTTTTCATTGTTTATTCTTTATTCTTTATTCTTTACTCCTGTACTCTATACCCTTTGTAACACGATTCAAATGTAATAAAGAGTAAACAATTTTCTATTATTGTGCATCTTTTGTATGCCTTGAGCCATTCTAGACCTTGGGTCCTTTATTGCTTTTCACTATAATGACAGCCAATACCACTTCAAATATTTTCCATTTATGGCTCATTTATACGGAATCCCGTTGATGCTAGCTAACACATACGCGTTCCCTTTAAGTACTTCATTTACCCTGAATGGTTCTTCCCAGTTAGGTGAAAACTTACCAAGCATTCGGTCTTTAGAACTAGGTGGCAACACAAGTTTCCACATGAGCTCGTCCACCTGAGAGTGTTTCCTTCTTATTCTTTTATTTTATATCCTTGAAACCTCTTTCTTTTAGGCAATCATATGATCCAGTGCTTGTAAATGAATTTCATCTAACTAAATTAGCTCATCATCATAGCATCGTTGTAGTCATCAGACAATCTTCCAAGACTCCTCGCAATGTGTAATGAAGGGACTGCTATTTC